GCACCAGGTCGCCTACTTGAAAATTTTGGGGTTTCACTCTTTTATTGTAGAGTTTGGACACTCTTTCTTGGTATTTCGCTAACCACAAGACAACCATTTCTCTTCTTTCCTCTGTGAGATCCAAGTCCAGGCTGAATTGGTGATCATTCTCCCGTGTTTCAAAAGCTTGTGTCCTTATGGTGGGGGGACCAACTTCCAATAGGAGAACACTCCGTGGACAAGATACCGAGAACGCGTGTCATTTGAAGAAGACTCCGCAGACAAGATGCTGAGGACGCGTGTCATCCAAAGAACACTCTGTGGAGGAGATGTCGAGGACGTGTGTCATCCAAAGAACACTCTGCGAATAAGATGCTGAGGACACGTGTCACCCAAAGAGCATTCCATAGACAAAATTTCAAGGACGCGTGTCAACCAAAGAACACTCTACGGGCAGGATGCCAAGGACGTGTGTCATCAAAAGAATACTCCACAGACATGATGCCGAGAACACCTGTCATCCAAAGAACACTCTGTGAATAAGATAGATGCCAAGGAATCCGCGAACAAGATGCTAAGAGCACGTGTCATCCAAAGAACACTCCGCGAACAAGATGCCAATGACGCGTGTTAACCAAAGAACACTCTGTAGACAGGATGCCGAGGACACATGTCGCGCCCCTTTGATCACGAAAACGTTCCATCACCTATAATATATTTAATGAAAGAGGTAAGCTTTGAGTTGGTTAAAACCAAATTTTAGCTACTGTGAAGCTGAATGCAAGATTTGTGGATTGAAGAATTATAACACAGAACATGAAACTGAATGTGTTGTCAAATCCAAGACATTCAAAGGTACTTTATTTATTCCATGTTTTGCTTTAACTTTAGTTGACACTTCGCATAGGAAATGTTAAACTCCTTCACTAAGAAGGAGCAGAATTATAAGAGTTATCACTGACTGCTCAAAAACAAATCTGAAAAACCAAACAACAATTTGACATTTGCACCATTAACTATTGCAAGTGTTTTTTTTCTTGTGATGGGAATCATTTCAACCAAATGTTTTTGAGCCTCAGTTGCAAAACAAACTCGGATATACATAATCACACGCACATCAGATAAACCTATGTTAATTAGTAGACTTAAACTCAAAATACACACTCACATCTTACTCCATGTTCTACCACTAAACCAATATGGATTTACTGTATATGTTATCAATGTGGTCTTCAATGGGAAATTTTAGAAAGTTTTATTTTTTTGTTGCTTCTCCATTTACCAAAGAGATATTTTTTATGGAGTCAATAGGAAAAGAAAAATTTTTATTGATCTAATTAGAAAAAAATAAAATAGTATGTTTTTGTCTCATGATTAATTGATCCACATATCTTCTCTTGTACCGATAGGTAAGTTATCAAAGGAGAGGCCAAGTCTCTTTGACATATAAAACTCTTTGGCAACCATCTTATGAACCCGAAGTTATACAAATTACAGGGAAGCCATGGCTTAGCTCTGTTCCTGTATGGAAGGCAATATTATTTATCTTTTTCTTCTTTATTTTAATTTTTTCTGTTATTTGGTTTTGATTGTCTTATCAATCATGATGCAATCATCAATTTCTAGAAATATTAATGATGATCTATATAGATTAAATAATGATTTGGAACCAATTAATATTTGAACTTAATTACATCAAATTTGATAGGTCTTGAACATTTAAAAATAATTGAAAGATTCTCCAGTTATTTTAAAATTGGAGAGGAGTCTTACCAGACTACTTANTTTACATCAAATTTGACAGGTCTTCAACATTTAAAAATAATTGAAAGATTCTCCAATTATTTTAAAATTGGAGAGGAGTCTTACCAGACTACTTAATGGGTGTAGGCCATTTAATTTAGCATTCTCCTTGTTAGGTTTAAACTTAATGAGTTTTTTGTGGGGGCTTATGTTGTTATGAGTTTAAAGTTTTTGTTTGAATTATATTATGGACTTATAAATTATGAGGTCTTTTTTTTTTTTTTTTTGCTCTAAGAGGTCTTTTTGTGAGTGGAGTAAGTTATTGTTTTATGGATTTTACTTTTGGGATGACGCTATGTTGGCCGTCGAAACCCATCTCGACTCTTAGGCATGGAACTTTTAGAATGATGCCTCATTTACTTTACGCAGGCAGGTTCAGTGAAATGTGGGGGTAGGAGGTGTATGTATTGCGAATAACTTAGCAGGAGGAACACATTCACCCATCGATAAGAAATAGGTATACAATAGCTGTATTAAAGTAGAAACACGAAACACGCACCAGGTAGGCTAACCATGTGGAATTAATTTTTATTGTGCCATATACTTAAATGTCTTAATTTTGATTTCCTTTCTTGGCATTTTATCAACAAAATAGATACATATGATTTGCGTGTAATTGAAGGTATCGAGATTTATTTTTCCCAAGTTGAGAGAGAGAGTCTCGGAGGGTGTTATTGTGATTAAAAAAATTTCACAACATGTAACCCGATAATGACCAAAAACTCTTTTTTGTTTGCTTAATGACCTGGTACACCAACTACTTGTATTGACATCGATTAGTCTTCTAAGGAGGCAAAACAAGAGAAGCGATAAGGGGTGAGAAAGGTCCCACCTTTATCACTAGTGTGTGGATTATGGGCATCAACCCAGTTTTGGTGCAAAGGTCACCAAGTAAAAGTCCGTGGGTCGCTTTAAAGTCCTAGTCCGTGTTTCTTCTCCATGAGTGCAGTCATTTTAGATAATAACTAATTTTGAACTAGTGCACCAAAGTTTGGGTTCTTGGAAAAAATTAAAACAAGAGGAAAAAAGTCTCCCACCCTTATCTCTTCTATATATGTGGAATGTGAGAATCAACCAATCAACCTCATTTGGTGCCAACACGACGAGTTGGGCCAGTCGTGACTTGAATAGTAAAAGTCAATCAATGAAAAAAATCACAACACAAAACTTGATTTGGAAAGTAAGTAGACATTTTTATTGTTTTTTTGAAATAATTTTTAAGCAAAATATCAATTTTATTTAAAAAACCATAAGTATTACTTTGCAGAAGTTATTTACATGCATATTTGTGTATAAATAATATACTAATATGTGTATGTATAACAAATTCGGACAAAATCAAAAGAGACAAGCTAGGAGGAAAAAGAAAGGTCCCACCTTTACCATCTCAACGTGGATTGTGGGCATCAATTTATTAACCTCATTTTGGTACCAATATGACTGGCTTAAATAGTCAAAGTCAATCAACGAAATCTGATTAGTCAAATACGAAACTTCTTGTAACTTATAATAAGTAACACGATTCTCACTTCTCTTTGATGAATAATTAATTGAAAGATATTTTAATTATTTTNCTGTCTTAATTTTGATTTCCTTTCTTGGCATTTTATCAACAAAATAGATACATGTGATTTACGTGTAATTGAAGGTATCGAGATTTATTTTTCCTAAGTTGAGAGAGAGAGTCTTGGAGGGTGTTATTGTGATTAAAAAAAATTCACAACATGTAACCCGATAATGACCGAAAACTTTTTTTTGTTTGTTTAATGACCGGATACACCAACTACTTGTATTGACATCGATTAGTCTTCTAAGGAGGCAAAACAAGAGAGGCGATAAGGGGTGAGAAAGGTCCCACCTTTATCACTAGTGCGTGGATTATGGGCATCAACCCAGTTTTGGTGAAAAGGTCACCAAGTAAAAGTCCATGTGTCGCTTTAAAGTCCTAGTCCGCGTTTCTTCTCCATGAGTGCTGTCATTTTAGATAATAACTGATTTTGAACTAGTGCACCAAAGTTTGGATTCTTGGAAAAAATTAAAGAGCAATACTACATGAACTTAAAAAGTAAATTTGATAATTTCAACCATTGATTTCACTGTGAGTGTCAGTATTTATTGAAACCCACTATCTATTCAATGGTTACGATTATTAAGTCTAATTTTTAAGTTTATGTAGCATTACTCAAAATTAAAACAAGAGGAAAAAAAGTCTCCCACCCTTATCTCTTCTATGTATGTGGAATGTGAGAATCAACCTCATTTGGTGCCAACACGACAAGCTGGGCCAGTCGTGACTTGAATAGTCAAAGTCAATCAATGAAAAGAATCGCAACACAAAACTTGATTTGGAAAGTAAGTAGAAATTTTTATTTTTTATTTTGCAATAATTTTTAAACAAAATATCAATTTTATTTAAAAAACCATAAGTATTACTTTGCAGAAATTATTTACATGCATATTTGTGTATAAATAATATACTAATATGTGTATGTATAACAAATTCGGACAAAATCTAAAGAGACAAGCTAGGAGGAAAAAGAAAGGTCTCATCTTTACCATCTCAACGTGGACAGCGGCCATCAATTTATCAACCTCATTTTGGTACCAATATGACTGGCCTAAATAGTCAAAGTCAATCAACGAAATATGGTTAGTCAAACACGAAACTTCTTGTAACTTATAATAAGTAACACGATTCTCACTCTTTTTTGATGAATAATTAATTGAAAGAGATTTTAATTATTTTTTAGTAGTAGGATTTATCCGAATCAACAAGTTTAATTTATGTTGAATTATCAATTTTAATTTATATTTATCTAAATTAGTAAGTTCAATTTTTTTGAATTATCAATTTTAATTTATATTTTGAATTAATTGCCAAATTTCTAAATTCTCATACACCCCTCAGAATACCTTCTAATTTATGTTGAATTGTCAATTGCACTGTGCAATATAAGAGGACATAAATTTAAAAATCAAACTAAACTTAGTTATTATTCCATTTAGTTATCCTTTTCAACAAAACAATATTGAGATAACTTATGCAATATTTTTAAATTTAAAATAAATTTGATATGGATTTAAAAATCACACAACTTGTTAATTCAATGCAATATAAAAAGGACAGGAATCTAAAAACCATATCAAAATAGTTATTATTCTTTTGAGGTATAAAATGACAGGATACAAAAACTAAGACAGCTATTGTAGAATACCATTTGCCGAATCTACTTAAATCAATAGAGATGGCAAGACATTGAGGACACACTAGGTAGGCACTTTGAAATGGCCAGCAGCTTCCTTTTTCTTATTCACTTCTTGCTCTTAGTGTTCCTTCCTCCAACCCTTGAAGCAGCTCAAGAGGGTGAGCGCAGGGTATTCAATTTCAGGTGCAGTCACAATGGGCCATCAATCCGATTCCCATTCTGGGTTAAAGCTTTCCACCCAGATCGCTACCGCTATCCTGGGTTCGAGCTATCCTGTGATAAGAACAAACAAACAGTCCTTGATCTTCCCTTTTCTGTGAAGCTATTTGTCAAGAAAATTGACTATAAATTTCAAGTTATTCGATTGTATGACCCAGATGGCTGCGTTCCCGCAAAGCTTCCAAAACTCGACTTGTCTGCCTCCCCTTTCCAGTTCGATGAAATATACTTAGGTAATTACTCGTTATTCAATTGTTCTGCACCAGACAGAGATCTATTGGACCCGGTTCATTGCCTTGGTGGCCCTGCCTACCAAGTGTATTACATACTTTCTATCTTGAACCTCGACCGTTATCCTTTGACATCTTGCACTAACATTCATAACTTAGAATCGGTGCCCTATAAAATATTTGATCAAAGAGGTAAGCTTCAGTTGAGTTGGTCGAAACCAAATTGCTGTTTCTGTGAAGCTGAAGGCAAGATTTGTAGATTGAAGGATAATACCACAGAAAATGAAACTGAATGTGTTGCCAAATCCAAAACACGCAAAGGTATTTTATTTATTTTATGTTTTGCTTTAAATTTAGTTCACATAGGAAACATCAAACTCCCTCACTTAGAAGGAGCAGAATTCTAAGAGTTATCATCGACTACTTAATTAAATGAGCAATGCTAGTGGGTCTAATTTATTCACTTAATTTGTTGTCCTAATTCAATGATCATTGGATTGACTNCAATTTTTGTAGCCTAATCAAACATTAGAATTTAATGTTGATACAATAATTATAATATAACCACATCATGAAGTTAGTATATTTGGTCAGATATTTAGGTCTAAAAATATTATTCCAAATAAAAAACTCAACAGCAATTTGGCATTTGCACTATTAACTATTGCAGGTTTTTTTTTTTTTTTTTTNTCTAAAAATATTATTCAAAATAAAAAACTCAACAGCAATTTGGCATTTGCACTATTAACTATTGCAGGTTTTTTTTTTTGTGCAATGGGAATCGTTTCAACCAAATGTTTTTGAGTCTCATAGTTGCAAAACAAATTCGGATACACATAATCACACGAACATCTGATAAACTCGGGTTAATTACTGAGACTTAAACTCAAAACAGACACACTCACATCTTACTGCAATTTCTACCACTAAACCAAATTGGATTTATTGTACATATTATCAATGTGGTCGTTAATGGAAAATTTTAAAGTATGCTAGAGGAGGCTCCTATAAACAAGATTAAAAAATACAGCTATGGGTGGAGCTATAAACTGATGAAGTTCTTGAAAATTCCAATTATTAATTTGGACCTTAGCATGAAGAATCCTTGAGTGCGTTGATTGCTAATAACTAACGTTTTTGTGTTTTTTTTGGGTATTGTCATTTTCATAAGCATAAAAAAGCTAATAATGTTTTTATTCTTTACAGGTCATGCATTTAACAAACGATTGTGGGCAGGTGATGTTGTCTTTTGTTTTTGGGGGGTGAATGACACTTTGTTTCCTAATTAATTTTACAATTTTCATTTTATCTTGAAAAGGATTTTAAATGTCATATTACATGTTGAAATTCTTGGTAGCATTATACTTATATCCCCTTTTTTCCACAAAAACAAATTCAAAGTGCAATGTGATACTTTTAGTCTTTAAAAGGATAAAGTGAAAATTTTAAATTAGTTTGGGAAAAAGTTAATATTGGCCTATTGGTTTTCTCTTTAGGTGTAATTCTAGGAATCTATTAGAAATACAAGCTTTCTTAACTCATTATGTTTTATGTGCAGGTCTAATTTTAGGTTGCTTTCTTCTTGTAGCAGTTCCTGTACTCTATCATATATATAGCTCAATTAAAATGAAAAAAGAGAATGAAGTAAAAATTGAAAATTTTTTGGAGGATTATAGAGCTCTTAAGCCCACAAGATACTCTTATGCTGATATCAAAAGGATCACGAATCATTTTAGTGAGATATTGGGTGAAGGAGGTTACGGAACCGTTTACAAAGGAAGGCTTTCCGATGACATTTTTGTTGCAGTGAAAGTCCTCAACAGTTCAATGGGAAATGGGGACGATTTCATCAATGAAGTTGGAACCATTGGGAGAATTCACCATGTTAATGTGGTTCGTTTGGTTGGGTTTTGTGCCGATGGATTTAGAAAAGCTCTTGTATATGAGTTCCTTTCGAATGATTCACTGGAAAAGTTCATATCTTCAACAAGCTCTAAAAATAAAACTCTTGGTTGGAAGAAGCTTCAAGACATTGCTTTAGGCATAGCCAAAGGGATTGAATATCTTCACCAAGGGTGCGACCAAAGAATCCTGCATTTTGATATTAAACCCCATAATATCTTGTTAGACCACAACTTCAATCCTAAGATCTCTGATTTTGGTTTGGCCAAGTTGTGTTCAAAAGAACGAAGTGCTGTTTCTATAACTGCTGCTAGGGGAACAATGGGCTACATAGCACCCGAAGTGTTATCAAGACATATCGGGAAAGTTTCACATAAGTCGGATGTTTATAGTTTCAGAATGTTATTGCTTGAAATGGTTGGAGGAAGGAAGAGTATTGATGTTGCAGTAAACAATACTAAACAAGAAAACTCTCCAGAATGGATATATAATCGCTTAAACCAAGGTGAAGAGCTACGAATTCGGATTGAGGAAGATGGAGATGTTGAGATAGTGAGAAAGCTTACTATAATTGGACTGTGGTGTATTCAATGGTATCCGACAGATCGTCCTTCAATGCAAACTGTGGTTCAAATGTTGGAAGGAGGAGAAGACAACTTGACCATGCCTCCTAATCCTTTTGCTGCTATAAGTTCAAAAAGAGTAAATGCAAACACACCTGCAAGAAGACCTCTTCAACAAGAGTTGGCAGTTATCGGAGAACTAAAGTGAAAATCTGAAGGCACCATAGTTTGTCTAGATAATAAAGATCGTCATGTACTGAATCATGCATTAATGTACTCTTGGTTACCAAGGTTTGGATTTAGCTTCTCAAACTCTTGAATTTGGAGCAATTCAGAACTTGTAGAGAAATTATGATTGCCCAATCTGTAATAACTAAAAATATTACTGTTAGCTCTTGTTTGGTATGAATGAAAAATAAATGGATGAAAAATGGGAAGGAATCAATAATAATGCCACTAGCCCTCAATGGCCAAAAGTTAGCAGGGAAGTAATTAATGGGGTGAAGTACCTAGATAACCTTCTCAAACATTTGCAATTGGTGTTTCAATATGGTATTTGAGTTGAAAATTTTGTGTTCGAATCTTGTTGCTCGACCAATTCATAGGACTTGCACATGGGTGATCCAAAAATCTAACTGCATGCAAGAGAGTGTCTTAAAAAATGTAATATTTTTGTTACACTTTTTTAACGTTTTAAAGTTTTTTCATCTTCAAAAAACATTTTAAAGATTCGGAAAACTTTCACCCAGACCCCTAGAATTTAACCAAATGACACGAATACCTCCCGACACAAAAAAATAACATGGCGACTCCTTGACATTTACAACTTGCATCAAAAAAACTCTCTAGCTGTAACGGGCATTAAGAACCCTGCCAAAAAATGATGACACCAACCAACTAATGCCATATGTTTCTAGAATTGCACTAATTAGTCCTGAACCACCCTTTTCAAATGGATTATAAAACTTAACGATAATTCCAATTTTAATGTTATCTATCCAATTAACATTAATTACACTTTCAAACACACCTACCCCCCCTTCTCTAGCAACTGCGTGCTCTTCCCTCTTTCCCTTCTCCGACAACTGCTCTGTCCTCTTCCTAACAGCCACAACCCACATCAACCACAACCACCAGCACATCATTGTGTAGCCACCACACAACACCATTGAAAACACAACCCTCTTCTCTAACCACCTGCTATTCTACCCACACACATACATATGCATATTGGCTCGTTTGATTGAAATATTAAAAATAGATGGATTGGATAAAATAATACAGTCTAATACAATACAAATGGATAAAAAACAAGATTAAATATGATATTTGAATAATATGTAATTTTATCTAGTGTTTGGTAATATACAATAAAAACGTTGGATAGTAGTTATTTAATCCAATCAGTTGTTTAGTTAAAGAATTATTTCATCAAATTAATGTTGAATTAACAAAAAATATCACCAATCAATGTTTGTTACATTGATGAGAGTTTGATTTTATCACTTGGGGGTTATAATAGTAAATGTGTAAAATAATACGTTTGAGTTGGATTATAATATCACATCTCTTTGTGGTATTAAAAGACCCATTTTTTAAAATTAATACGATATTAAATTTACTTACCAAATAAAGTATTAAGCGCGTTTAAATAAAAAATAATACAATATAATATTTAATCCCCTTATAATACGTCTATCAAACGAGTCTTTATAATTTTCAAACGAGAGCAGAGTATAGCAAAACACACTTAAATGGTTGACTCTCCATGTGCCCTTCTTAATTATACACTACAAAATATCGGTGCAAGTCCAATATCTATAAAATCACACTTACGTACAAAAGACACGAAGACCCCTTAGTAACAACCCACACGGCCACCACCCAACAACACTTTGATCACCGCCACACAACACGACAACACTGCCACCACAACGATAGGAGCAGAAAAACATTCAGTAAAAAGGAACAAAAATATCCCACACCAATTTCCCAAAAATTATCCATTATTTACCCAAACCCATCAACCAATTTCTATGCAAGCACACAATTTCAGCCAGTGTTGTTGTGTCTCTCCTCTTCCATCTCTTTTTGGTTGATCGCTTCTCTACCTTAACTCACTGAATTGACATCTCTCTAGCTCTATCCTTTCTCAATCTTCTCTCTCTCATTTGCTTTTCACTATCAACCTATGTCTATCTCATTGATAAAAAAGGGGTGCCAAGGACCACCATCCTCAAACTACAACCATACGGTCCATAGTACATACCCATTCGGATAACCGATCTTTAGGGGCCAGGATTTTTTTTTTTTTTTGGG